TGGGTTCAAGCAATTCTCCTGCCTCAACGTCCTGAGTAGCTGGGATTACAGGTGCATGCCACCATGCCCAGCTAATTTTTTGTATTTTTAGTAGAGACAGGGTTTCTCCATGTTGACCAGGCTGGTCTCAAACTCCCGACCTCAGGTGATCTGCCCACCTCGGCCTCCCAAAGTGCTGGGATTACAGTCATGAGCCACTGTGTTCTGGCCTCATTCACTCTTTTAATTAATTTATTGACACCTACTGTGTGTCAGGCAAGATGAATGAGAGTCCTTTCCCCTGAGGAATTTATAGTTTAGCAGGGACACTCATACGAAAATCACAAAACTGAATAAGAAATGCTATAATGGGCCAAGCGTGGTGGTTCATGCCTGTAATCCCAGCACTTTGGAAGGCCGAGGTGGGCAGATCACCTGAGCTCAGGAGTTCGAGACCAGCCTGGCTAACTTGGTGAAACCGCAACTCTACTAAAAATACAAAAATTAGTCAAGCGTGGTTGTGCACGCCTATAATCCCAGCTACTTGGAGGCTGAGACAGGAGAATCACTTGAACCCAGAGGCAGAGATTGCAGTGAACTGAGATCCCGCCATTGCACTCCAGCCTGGGTGACAGAAAGAGATTTTGTCTCAAAAAAAGGAAATGCTATAATTGCAGCAGGACTTTCAGAGAGTGGAGTGTAGAGTGTGGTTCTGCTTGCAGGGGAGTGGGGATGAACCAGAGATGATTTCATCGGGGAGGGGACATTTGAACTTGTTGAAGGATGGAGTGGGAATTTTCCCAAATGGAAAAGGCAAGAGAGGATATTCTCATTGGAAGGAGAGGCCAGAACGTAGGGAAGAACATGACGGTTTCTGGAACGTGAGAAAGGCCAAACCCAAAATAGGAGGGCTCTAAATATCCAGCTAAGCTGTAGATGATGAGGGCTTCGTCTAAGGTGGTGGTGATGTGGGTGGAGAAGGGGGAAGGTGGAAGAGATAGCTAGATTTGTATTCTGCTAAAGAGACTTGGAGGAACTCTTTCTCCTCATTATTTACCTCTTACTTCCTGAGCTGGTAGAACTCAATAAACTCTTTAACCTCAGAGGGGTCATAACTGATAAAGGTCTTTCAGGAAATGACCTAAAAGCAAAGCAGACTCTGTCCGCTTTCAAGAATAGAGACTTCTGGCCAGGTGCGGTGGGTCACGCCTGTAATCACAACGCTTTGGGAGGCCGAGGTGGGCGGATCATGAGGTCAGGAGTTCGAGACTCTTGATGGAGACCATCTGGCCAACATGGTGAAACTCTACTAAAAATACAAAAAAACTCGACTAAAAATACAAAAAAATTAGCTGGGCATGGTGGTGGGCACCTGTAATCCCAGCTACTCGGGAGGCTGAGGCAGAGAATCGCTTGAACCCAGGAGGCAGAGGTTGCAGTGAGCTGAGATCACGTCACTGCACTCCAGCCTGGGCAATACAGTGAGACTCCATCTCAAAAAAAAAAAATAATAATAATAGAGACTTCCAGAGCCATCTAGCCTCAGAGCTGGGGTCTACTTCCTCACCCTGCAGGTGGGGAAACAGGTCCAGAAAGAGCCTTGTTCAGGACCTCCCTCCTCCCAGGCCAGGACCCTTGTACCATCATCAGACAGTGAATATCCACCATTGGATGTGATCGCGATGAGGCTGGGCAACCCCATCTCGGAAGTCCAGAGGGAATTCTTCCAGCTTGGAAGTGGTTGGATGGATCTCCAAGGCCCTCACAATACTCAAGTCTTGTGAGCCTGGAGACCTCAGAGATTTCCAGACCTTCTAAGATGTAGGAAGAGAAATATAGGTCAAACAAAAAAAAAAATCAGATGAGCTTAGACTCTTGGTTTCTTTTATAATTTTGTTTCTGAAAAACACCTCCTTTTTTTTTTTTTTTTTTTTTTTTTTAAAGGCAGAGTCTGGCTCTGTCGCCTAGGCTGGAGTGCAGTGGTGCAATCTTGGCTCACTGCAACCTCCACCTCCCAGGTTCAAGCAATTCTCCTGCCTTAGCCTCCCAAGTAGCTGGGATTACAGGCGTCCACCACCGTGCTCTGCTAATTTATTTATTTATTTTTTCTTTTTTTGAGATGGAGTCTTGCTCTTGTTGCCCAGGCTGGAGTGCAGTGGCGCGACCTCGGCTCACTGCAACCTCCAACTGCCAGGTTCAAGCGATTCTCCTGCTTTAGCCTCCAAAGTAGCTGGGATTATAAGCACATGCCACCACACCTGGCTGATTTTTGTATTTTTAGTAGAGACGGGGTTTCACCATGTTGGCCAGGCTGGTCTCAAACCCCTGACCTTAGGTGACCCACCCACCTTAGCCTCCCAAGGTGCTGGGATTACACGCATGAGCCACTGCTCCTGGCTTAGTTTTTGTATTTTTTAGTAAAGACAGGGTTTCCTCATTTTGGCCAGGCTGGTCTCGAACTCCTGACCTCAGGTGATCCACCCACCTCAGCCTCCCAAAATGTTGGGATTACAGGTGTGAAACACTGTGCCCAGTCAAAAACTCCTCCTTTTTGAGCTGGGCACAGTGGCAAGAGGGTATACTCTCAGCTACTTGGGAGGCTGAGAGGCCGAGACAGGAGGATCCCTTGAGCTCAGGAGTTCAAATTCAGCCTGGGCAACGTAGAGCCTGTCTCTAAAAATAAATAAATGAGTAAAGAAAGAAAAGAAAAACACCTTTTCAGAAGCAATAATGCAACAACATTATAGGAATTTTTAAAATAGTGTATATAGTTTTTTCAGTGTTGTCCCCACTCATGCTGAGGCCGGTGCCCCATTATGGGAAATTTAATTTGTACAATAATCCTAGGAGGTAGATTCTATTAGTAGCTCTACTTTACAGGTGTGGACACTGAGACTGGTAGATGAAGTATCTTGAGCAGGAACAGCCAGCTATTAAGCGACAGAGCCCAGCCTCATAGAGTTGTTAAGTTATGCTGATTCACAGTGCAATGTATCCTCAACAAATGATAGCTATTATTATTTTCCAAGTTTCTCCAGTGAAATTGTATGTTTTTATAATACGGCTGTGACTTCCCCAATAAATGTTATTTAAAAAAAAAAAAAATCAAACGAGCAGGGCATGGTGGCTCACGCCTGTAATCCCAGCACTTTGGGAGGCCGAGGCGGGTGGTTCACGAGGTCAGGAGATCGAGACCATCCTGGCCAACAAGGTGAAACCCCACCTCTACTAAAAATGCAAAAATCAGCTGGGGGTGGTGGCATGTGCCTATAATCCCAGCTACTCAGAGGCTGAGGAAGGAGAATGGCATGAACCGGAGAGTTGGAGATTGCAGTGAGCTGAGATCACGCCACTGCACTCCAGCCTGGTGACAGAGTGAGACTCTGTCTTGAAAAAGAAAAAAAAAATCACTCGACTTGGGGCCGGGCGCAGTGGCTCATGCCTGCAATCCCAGCACTTTGGGAGGCTGAGGTGGGCGGATAACGAGGTCAGGAGATGGAGACCATCCTGGACAACATCGTGAAACCCCGTCTCTACTAAAAATACAAAAAAATTAGCTGGGCGTGGTGGTGCGTGCCTGTAGTGCCAGCTACTCTGGAGGCTGAGGCTGGAGAATCTCTTGGACCAGGGAGGTGGAGGTTATGCTGAGCCGAGATCGTGCCACTGTACTCCAGCCTGGTGACAGAGCAAGACTGTGTCTCAAAAACAAACAAACAAAAAACAACTGGCCTGCCAGGTTAGAGGGCTCCCATTTTCCTTCCAGGAACTAGATGTTTGCTGAGTGTCTGCCTGCTGCGGAATCTCCAGCCAGGCCCTGGGTGGGAAGAAGGGATGGGGTAAATCCTGGTGCCTGGGTAAGCCACTCATGATCTGGTTCTTGCTGAGGCACGAATCAGAGGGCAGAGCACAGCAGGGCTCATGAGGCCAGAGCTCCTGCTCCCCACGCTTGCTTATCTCCCAGAGCAAGGTGACAGCATGAAGTTGTTACTCTCCCTGACCATGGGTCCAACCCCAAAAAACACTTGGCCCCAGCATGATCTCAGTCTTTCTCATCTTCATATACCTAAAACCTGAGAAAACTTTCTGGGAGCAGCTCAGCAACAAGAGAGCTCCTCCTACCTCCACTCTCCAGTCACACTTTCCGCCCAGACTACTCCCTTGGCAGTAGGTCTGTATCGTCGGCTTATCTATGCCTGCCTTGTATACCAGAGTGAAAGTTTCTAGGAAGAGCATGGAGTCTTGAGGCTGACCGTTCTGGGTTTGAATCCACTTCTGCTTCCTGCCTTTATAATCTTATGCAAGCCACTGTACTACCCTGAGCTTCAGTTTTCTCATTTGTAGGTTTCTTTTTTCTTTTTCTTTCTTTCTTTTCTTTTCTTTTTGAGACGGAGTTTCGCTCTTGTTGCCTAGGCTGGAGTGCAATGGGGTGATCTCAGCTCAACGCAACCTCCACCTCCTGAGTTCAAGCGATTCTCCTGCCTCAGCCTTCCTGAGTAGCTGGGATTACAGGCATGAGCCACCATGGCTGACTAATTTTGTATTTTTAGTAGAGACGGGGTTTCTCCATATTGGTCAGGCTGGTCTTGAACTCCCGACCTCAGATGATCCGCCTGCCTCAGGCTCCCAAAATGCTGGGATTACGGGCGTGAGCCACTGTGCCGGGCCCTCATCTGTAAATTTCATGTTACCATTTGACTTGGAAGGCACTCAGTAGTGGTAGCTTTCTTTAGCTTCCAATTTGCATACAAAGAATGCCGTCCACTTTGGGAGGCAGAGATGGGTGGATCACTTGAGCTCAGGAGTTTGAGACCAGCCTGGGCAACATGGCGAAACCCCGTCTCTACTAAAAATACAAAAACTAGCTGGGCATTGTTGTGTGCACCTGTAGTCCCAGCTACACCGGTGGCTGCAATGGGAGGATGGCTTGAGCCTGGGAGGCGGATGTTGCAGTGAGCAGAGTCTACCCTTCCCTGACAATGTGGTAGGCTAGAAAGTCAAATGGAAAAAAAAAAAAAAAAAAGCACTCTGTGTTGTTCAGAGAAAGGGCTTTTAAACCTGGGCACCAAGAAGTGAGTGCCTGAGATCAGAACTCATAAACTGCCAGACCATCACAGCTGAAAGGGTGGAGAGATGATGATGATGATTAACAGCAGGAAACGTTTTTGAAAAAGTGCTCTCTACAGGTGTTTTTGTTTGTCTCGGCTTTCCCCTTTAAAATCGTGTACTTTGCAATATCTTATTTAATCCTCACGGCAACCCAGTGGGGGTGGGTATTATCACTGTTTTACAGATGTAAAAACTAAGGTGTATAAAGTGTCCAAGAACACACAGTCAGGAGCCAGGACTCCTAATTCCAGAGTTCGTGCTCTTAACTGCCTTTAGCTGCTTTGGTGACTGAGTCTAATCCAACAATTTTACAGATGAGGCTCAGGGAGGGGAAATTGTCTTACCCAACTTTTACGCAAGGGAAATAGAATTTGGGCCTCCCTTCCGGGCGCCAATCTGGACAAGGAATTATCACAGAAACTCAGATTTAAGAAACATTTATTAAGTAGTTGCATCATTGCAATCCATCCTCAAAGCAGCCTCCGCTAAGTATTATAGTACTTCGTGTTACAACACTGATCATATGGGGAAATAAGCTAAGAGGGATAATTCCCCCCAAGATCAATTTAGCAAAATAGCGGCACTGTCGGGATCACACATTCAGGTTCAGAGGCTTCCAGCAGTTTCATCAACCTAATCCCAGGTTCCTCCTTCCTGCACCTGTGGGTATGAACGAACTCCCCCATCCCCGGACCTGGAGCCCGCTCAGAGCGGTGCATTCTGGGATTCGCCCGCGAAGAATGCCGACTCTTTGGGCCAATAGAATCCGAGCATAGGCGACTGTATCCACCTTCGCTGTCTGCAGGTTGCTCAGGCCTCCCTCAAACTAGCCAATGAGAAGTGCACGGGTCCTGGTCGCCTAGGAAACCGCGTGACAACAAGATGGCGGCGCCGCGGGACGGCTAGCGGCCCTGCGTGGTGAGTCTGGCCCAAGACTTTTCTGCCCCTAGAGTCCTCTCGCAGGCTGGAGCCCGAGCCCCTAGAGCCCCGTGGGCCTGCGAGCTCCGCGGCTCCCACAGGAGGGGTTCGGGACCCTGCTTACCATGATTACTCGTGGAGGGGGAAGGAGGCGACACGGCTTCCAGGGCTGGGTTAGGTCGTGATAGACGTCTCTCCCTAAACGCGTCCTGGGGGCATTAGGGAGTGACGGCTGGCTACGGGCCGGACCGTGTCCCCGCCAGAGCTCTGGGCCCTGGGGATGACGGCTAGGCCGAGGAGGTGTGAAGAAGAATGTTGTGAGTCAACCACAGCACTGAGTTTGGTCCCAGAGATGTAGAGGCATGGTACACAGCTTTGCTCTCAGCCAGATCTGAAGTGGGTGACAACCCTGCGTTAAGGAGCTTTTGACCTGAGGGGTAGTCACAGTCCTGCCCTTGGAAGCCCCAAAGTGAAGGAGGTAGACGACTCTGTCCTCAGGGCTCCCTAATCTGAAGGAGGAAGAGACACGCCCCTGCCCTCAGGAGCCCCCCCAAACGGAAGGGGAAATGCAGCCTTTGCCCTCAGGGTCCCCTGTAATCTGGGAGAAGATTAACCTGGAGACAATGTGTTGGATTGGACTGGAGTGACACTGGAAGTAGGGAAGTCAGTTGGGGGCCACGTGACAGCTCCCAGAATGGGCAGTGAGTTCCACTAGGATAGCTGACAGTGGGCATGGAAAGGGGCAGCTATGTGTGAGACAGTTTAACCTGCAGGGTTTGGTGTAAGAGGAAAGATGGCGTAAGAGGGAAGGAAGGAGAGAAAAATGCTGTGGTTGGGTGATGGGGTCCCATTAAGAAGGGGGAAGGGGAGGAAGTGAGTTTGACGAAGATGTTGAATTTGGTTTAGGAGTTTTTTGTCTTTTGTTTTCCCCCCTGTGACAGCTTTATTGAGATATAATTCACGTACTACATACTTCACTCCTTTAAAGTGTAAATTTCAATCGTTTTTAGTATATTTTAGTATATATTCCATTTATATGAAATGTGCAGTATGGGCAAGTCTATAGAACAGAAAGTAGATTTGTGGTTGCCTAAGACTGGCTGGGAAAAGGGGTGGGGGCTGGAGAGTAAGTGGTGACTGCTAGAGGGTACAAGGTCTTTTTAGGCTGATGAAAATGTTCTAAAATTGTGGTGATGGTAGTACAGCTCTGTGAATATACTAAAAACTTAAATTTACACTGTAATAAGGTGAAATATGTGAATTATATCTCAAAGCTGTTTTATGAAAAAGGTTGCATACTGTATAATTACATTTATGTAACTTTTTTGAAGTAATATAGAGATGGGCCGGGCGCAGTGGCTCACGCGGGTAATCCCAGCACTTTGGGAGGCTGAGGTAGGAGAATTACTTGAACCTGGGAGGCAGAGGTTGCAGTGAGCCGAGATCGCGCCATTGCACTCCAGCCTGGGCAACAAGAGCAAAACTCTGTCTCAAAAAAAAAAAAAAAAAAGAAAAAAGGAAAGAAAATAAAAAGAAAATTAGAGATGGAAAATAACGTACTGGTTGCCAGTGGTTAGGGCTGGGGGAGGGGTGCAGGATGGGTGTGACTATAAAGAGGGCCATGAGGAAGATCTTGGTGGGGCTAGAATAGTTCTGTATTTTGATTGCAGTGGTAGTTACCCATGTAACTTGACCTATGTGATTTAATCTACCCATGTGATCAAACAGCATAGAACTATACATACAAAGTGTAGAAAAAATGTCAATTCCTGATTTTAATATCATACTGTAGTTATATAAAATCTAACTATTGGCTGGGCACAGTGGCTCACGCCTGTAATCCCAACACTTTGGGAGGCCAAGGTATGTGGATTCACGAGGTCAAGCATTTGAGACCAGCCTGGCCAACATAGTGAAACCCTGTCTCTACTAAAAATACAAAATTAGCTGGGTGTGGTGGCATACACCTGTAATCCCAGCTACTTGGGAGACTGAGGCAGGAGAATCACTTGGACCTAGGAGGCAGAGGTTGCAGTGAGCTGAGATCGCGCCACTACACTCCAGCCTGGGTGACAGAGCGAAACTCAATCTCAAAAAACAAAACAAAAAAATGTGTTGAGGGGAGCTGGGTAGAGGATACAAAGGATCTTTCTGTACTATTTTCCTAATTTCCTGTGAATCTGTAATAACTTTCAAATAAAAAGCTAAAATATAAGTGAAAAACAAACTGAAGAGTTAGCTGGCCAAGGGAAGGGTGCAGGTAGGGGTTGGGAGACCATTCTGGGAGTCGGGGGGTTGAGGTCGAGGCAGGGGGGATACAAGTGCATTTGAGATATTGCTAGCAGTTCAGGTGGCTCAAGTGTGGGAGGCGGCAAGATGGGAGATGAGGTCAGGAGACATAAGCAGGGACCAGGTCACCTATATCAAGGAATTATGAAATTTTTTTTGAGATGGAGTCTTGCTCTGTCACCCAGGCTGGAGTGCAGTGGCGCGATCTCTGCTCACTGCAACCTTCGCCTCCTGGGTTCAAGCGATTCTCCTGCCTCAGCCTCCTGAGTAGCCGGGATTACAGGTGCCCCCCACCATGCCCGGCTAGTTTTTGTATTTTTAGTAGAGATGAGGTTTCGCCATGTTGGTCAGGCTGGTCTTGAACTCTTGACCTCAGATGATCCACCCTCCTCTGCCTCCCAAAGTGCTGGGATTACAGGCGTGAGCCACCACGCCTGGCCAGAATTTTGAATTTTTTCCCTAGGTGAGAAATGCTGGAATTATAGGCATGAGCCACCACTCCCGGCCTGTTTTATGTTTTAAGATCTCTCTGGAGCACATGGGAACTAATGAAGGGAGCCATGAGGGGCTCTCAGACTTGGGCATACAACCCATGAGGCTGCCCAGACAGGGCAGGGGCTGGGGCAGGGTGGGGGTGAAGAAACTCTGGGCCTGATCCTTGAGGAGGGCTCCTTCCAAGGAAGGGGCAGGGCATGATTCTCAAACTCTGCAGTGAAGGCATTGGAGGCTGCCTCCAGGCAGCATGGATTCCCTTGCTGACTGGCTTCAGAAGTAGGGTTGAGGCCAGAACCAGACATTTTCAAAGTGGAGCTTGCTTGGATTTGTCCTAAAAAATTTGATCCAGGCCAGGTGCGGTGGCTCATGCCTGTAATCCCAGCATTTTGGGAGGCCCCCGAGGCCGAGGCGGGTGGATCACCTGAGGTCATTTACTGAATAGAGTAGTAGCCTTCGATTATGTCCCTCAGGTGCACTCCTCTTTCCAGAAGGAAGAGGGAATGAAAGGAAACTAACATGTAGGAGTGCCTCCTGTGGCAGCAACAGCAAAAACAGCAGCAGCCCCAACTCACATTTTTCAGTGCTTCCTTTGAGCTTGGCGCTGGGCTAGACCTCTGTTGTCTCTGAATCTGCTCAGAACACTGCCTGTGCCAGTACTGTTACTACCCCCATTTTATACTAAAAGAAACTGAGGATGGGTTACTCCAGTGAGTGGCAAAACCTGGCATCTTAACCTTGGCGTCACCTGGACTGTGTCTTTTTTTTTTTTTGAGATGGAGTTTCGCTCTTGTTGCCCGGGTTGGAGTGCAATGGCGCAGTCTCGTCTCATTGCAACCTCCCCACCTCCTGGGTTCAAGCGATTCTCGTGCCTCAGCCTCCCAGGTAGCTGGGACTACAGGTGCATACCACCACGCCCAATTAATTTTTGTATTTTTAGTAGAGACGGGATTTCACCATGTTGGACAGGCTGGTCTCAAACCACTGATCTCAGGCAATCCACCCACCTCGGCCTCCCAAAGTGCTGGGATTACAGGCGTGAGTCACCGAGCCCGGCCCACATAGACTGTGTCTTGATTGAATCCTGCCTGTGGGTTGCCCTCTCTGGCTTTGAGATGTTGGTTGTGGCACCAGGTTTCTGGTGGAAGGGAAGGAGACACTTGGGCTTTGTGTCACCCAGCTGGCTGATGGACGGACAGCCTCCTGGGTGGTAGCATTTTCAGGCTCTAAGTTTGGGAAAGTTCCAGGCTTCTGACTCATTTCTGCATCCCATCCACCCTCACAGTCCTTTCCCAAGAACAACCAGGCCAAAGGTCTCACAGTTCAGAGCAGAGAGCCGTATACCCAGAGGAGCAGGCAGATAACAGAAACTTCCAGAAACCTCTGTGGGGACAGTGGAAGTGGCAAAAGGTACTGCAGCCTAGACAGTGCTTCCCATTAGGAAGAGTAGCCAGGGATGTGGAAACTTCAGACTACCCCCTGGGATTGGAGCCCTGAGTCCGTCCCCTCTGTCCCCAAGAGCTGACTTCCTGCATTCCTCTAGGGAGTTCCTGACAGCTGGATTCTAGAAGTAGAACTATGAGCTCACCTTTGGCCTCCCTTAGCAAGACCCGGAAAGTGCCCCTGCCCTCGGAGCCTGTGAATCCTGGGTAAGGAGCCAGCCTCAGGGGTCTTTCTGTCCCTGCCTTCCATCCTTCCATGGCCAGAGGATAATGACTCCTAGTGTCTTGGGGAATACAAATAAGGGCCACATAGCCTTCTCTGACCACTGTCTTTCTTTATACCTTCTTCTGGGGTACCCAGCTTTGGATCTGAGCATAAACTGGGTTGTGCTTTTAATAAGGTATGGGCCCTGGAGGAGTGGCTTGGCATCCCATCTGTTCATTCACTGTTCATTGATTAATTCTGCAAACACAGATGGTGTATGGACGTATCCTGGGCCAGGCCCTGTTTGGGGTTCTCAGTAAAGGGAATCTTTTACATCTGTCTAGCACTTTCATGTTTTCAAAACATTTTTTACCTCTCTTCCTTCTTGCTTTTCGGAATACCACTTTGAGTCTTTTTTTTTTTTTTTTTTTGAGACGGAGTCTCACTCAGTTGCCCAGGCTGGAGTGCAGTGGCCAGATCTCAGCTCACTGCAAGCTCCGCCTCCCGGGTTTATGCCATTCTCCTGCCTCAGCCTCCCGAGTAGCTGGGACTACAGGCGCCTGCCACCTCGCCCAGCTAGTTTTTTGTATTTTTTAGTAGAGATGGGGTTTCACCGTGTTAGCCAGGATGGTCTCGATCTCCTGACCTCGTGATCCACCTGTCTCGGCCTCCCAAAGTGCTGGGATTACAGGCTTGAGCCACCGCGCCCGGCCTTTTTTTTTTTTTGAGAGCAAGTCTCGCTCTGTTGCCCAGGCTGTGGATTACAGTGGCATGATATCGGCTCACTGCATCCTCTGCCTCCCAGGTTCAAGCGATTCTCCTACTTCAGCCTCAGTAGCTGGGACTACAGGCGCGTGCCCCAACGCCTGGCTAATTTTTTGTATTTTTAGTAGAGACGAGTCTCACTGTGTTAGCCAGGATGGTCTCGATCTCCTGATCTCGTGATCTACCCGCCTCGGCCTCCCAAAGTGCTGGGATTACCAGCACTCTAGGTGTGAGCCACTGCGCCTGGCCCCACTTTGAGTCATTCTAAGGCCTAGAAGATCCAGAGTGGTTAAGCAACAGGCCTCACAGCCTTTGCGGAGCAGAGCTGGGGCTGAACTCGTGGGCTTTGCAAGCCTTGTAGTCTTCCCACTAAGACTCTGCTCTTCACCCCTTCCCCATCCTTCTCCACTGGGCAAAGTGAGTCATGTTGAAGCCTGTCCCTTGTCTCACCCCAGGCTGGGGCTGGGATTTGGGGCTGGAAGTCCTCAGGAGGTAGAGGCCCCGCTTCCATCTCTTTGAGCTTTGACTGAAGTCCGGTGCCCAGAGCCTTATCCCTGGTATCATTCCAGGGGCCCTAACTTATATTTCTTCCTTCCTCCTGCCTGGGTTTCCAGGAGGCGAGGAATCCGCATCTACGGGGATGGTAAGTGTGCCCCGCTCTCATGCCCTCTTCGCCTCTCATGTGTTGGCACCTCCTACAGTTGGGCCAATGGAGAGAAATCACAAGGCCCTTGTCAGCTGGAGCAGCGGCCTACATTGTGTTATCTGCAGCTCCCACACTGTCCTCTCTGAGGGCTGGGCTTCCCTCCTGGAAGCTCTCAGATTAGGAGGCCCCATACCCTTGGCACAGTTGTTGCCACTCACATTCGAACCCCTTGACCCACTGTGGGACTGGCCAGTGTGTGCCTAGAAACCACGTGGGGGCCAAGAGATTACCCAGCCCAGGGGTCGGGATCCCAGTCCGCCTTCCCCCTCCAGCCTCTTCCAGCATGACAGCCGTTTCTCCCAAGAGGCCTATGCACACATTGCCACCCTGACTCCTGTAGCTCAGGCCTTTGGATCCCCACCCCCCGACACCCCGCCATAGCATTGGCATTGGCTATGCAGGTCCCTCTGGGAGCAGAACTGGAAGAACTACAAGAACAGCCCCATTCTGGTTGGGTCCTTGCTCCCCAGCCTTGTGAATTCTCTCTCCTCAAACTCCCTGGGGCACACTGCATAGGCTGCGTCACACTGGCCAGGGCCCAGGGCGTGAGTTTCCTCTGGGCCTCGGCCCCAAAGCAGTGACCTGGGCATCCCTGTCTGCAGAAGATGAGGTGGACATGTTGAGTGATGGGCGTGGCTCAGAAGAAAAGATCTCAGTCCCTTCCTGCTATGGCGGCGTAGGTGCCCCTGTGAGTCGGCAAGGTGAGAGCAGAGGCCCGAAGGGTCTGGGTCCTGGCTGCAGGAGGGGGCCCCAGAGAAAGAGCAAGGCCTGGGGAGGCATGGCCCTTCCTCTCGCCTGTTTGGTCTGAGGAAGCTGCTCCCACTCCTGGCTGATGGTGGCAGGGCCCTGGCTTTGTGTAAAGCCACACAAGTCCCACCCTTAGCTCAGGAGGCCTGGCCCAGCCCCAGCCCCAGGCCAGGCTGTGGCTGTAGTTGCCAGGTATGATATCAGTGGGCTCAGGATTCAGGGTCAGAGAGGGATGAAGAGCCTGAGGGTAGAGCTCAGCCTCCTGCTTCTGCAGGGCTCTGGCAGGGCGCAAAGTTGCCTGGACAGTCCACTTAGCTTGGCAGAGGGCTGTGGCAATGCTGAGCTCATGGAGGCACCTAAAGTGGGATGAGGCTGATCAGGGTGGCTTCCCAGAGAGGGGATTTAGCAAGTCCGAGAAAAGGGGAGACATGGGCAGGCAGGGATGAGCTGTGCAGAGTGCTGGGCGGGATCTGGGGATGCTGGGGATGAGGTTAGAACTTTCCAGTAGCTCACTAGCTGTAGTATCTTGAGCAAGCAACTTTGCATCTCTCTGTCTCTTGGGGCCTCCTCTGTGAAGTGGGCATGGGAACAGCGAGGGCAGCGTGTTGGGAGGATTCGATGAGATGCTCCTCGGTGGAAGGCCCCTGGCCAGTGCTTGTTACATGGGGTGCTCAGCGTGGTGGCTGCCCATAAGGAGGCCAGCCGCAGGGAAGGGCCTGATGATCCTCCTCCAGGCCCCCTCCATTTTACCGACAGAGGGGATTGAGGTGGAAAAAGAGACAGGAAGAGCCTGGCCTAAGGTCCCGCAGCCAATTCATCACAAAGCCAGGATCTCCTATACCCTGACTAGGGTCAACTTTCTTTTTTATTTTATTTTTTTTGAGACAGGGTTTTGCTCTGTCATCCAGGCTGGAGTGCAGTGGTGTGATCACAGCTCACTGCAACCTCAGCCTCCCAGGCGCAATCAGTCCTCCTGCCTCAGCCTCCCAAAGTGCTAGGATTACAGGCATGAGCCACTGTACCCAGCCAGGTCACTTTCAGTAGTAACCATGGCAACCAGGTTCTCTGAAAAAGCTCCAGGTGTCCTCTCCCTGCTTTCCCCTGTCATCCCCTCCTCTCCCACTCCCAGTCAATATCTGTCCTTACCAAGGTAGATGAGGACTTGCCTGTCTTATTTTACTTCTCAGCCAGCAGCGTCCTCTACTGTCCACTGCTCCTTCCTTCTCAGTACCTCCACCAAGCTCTTAGGCACCAAGCTGCTGCCTCCCATTGCCGTCTGCTTCTAGGCTCTGCCTCTTAGCTATCATTACCACCTCCTTTTTTCCCTCAGTTTTTTGTTTTGTTTTGTTTTTGAGACCGTCTTGCTCTGTTGCCCAGGCTGGAGTGCAGTGGTGCAAATCAGTACTTATTGCAGCCTCGACCTGCCAGGCTCAAGCAGTCCTCCCACTTCAGCCTCTCAAGTAGCCGGGACTATAGGCACACACCACCATGCCTGACCATGCCTGGCTCATTTTTGTATTTTTAGTAGAGACAGGGTTTTGCTATGTTGCCCAGGCTGGTCTCGAACTCCTGGTCTCAAGTGATCTGCCCGCCTTGGCCTCCCAAAGTGCTGGGATTACGGGGGTGAGCCACCGCACCCGGGCCCTCAGCTTTTCAATGTGATGTTCCGCTGGCCTGGACTCTCCTCTGTGTCCACTGTGCCCCAGTGAGCTCACCTGCACTCCGTGTGTAGACAGTTCCCAAATGTTTCTTTGTCAATTAAGATGCATTTAACTATAAGTCAGAGAAAACCCTTCCTCAACCAACAAGAACATTAAGGAAGTTTTGTTATTCCACATGCAAAGACGTCCTAAAGAGGCAGCTCCAGGGGTGTTAATTCAGTGACTCAGAGACATCATCGGGGGCTCAGGTTTCTCCATCTTTTCACTGAACCTGCTTTGACACTGCAGCCTCATGTGGTTGTAGGATGATGGCTGCGGTTCCTGTTTCATACATAGAAAGGACAGTATCTAGGGGAAGAAAAGGAAAAGGCCTGCTTCTTCCTGTATGTTTCTCTTTTTTTCTGTTTTCATACTTTTTTTTTTTTTTTTTTTTTGAGACAGAGTCTCTCACTCTGTTACCCAGGCTGGAGTGCAGTGGTGCGATCTTGGCTCACTGCAACCTCCGCCTCCTTGGTTCAAGTGATTCTCAAGTAACTGGGATGACAGGCATCTGCCACCACGCCCGGCTGATTTTTGTATTTTTAGTAGAGACAGAGTTTCACCATGTTGACCAGGCTGGTTTCGGACTCCTGACTTCAAGTGATCCACCTGCCTCGGCCTCCCAAAGTACTGGGATTACAGCCGTGAACCACCGCACCCGGCCCATTCTCATACTTTTTTAATAAAAACTTTTATTTCCCATACTACACAGATGTAAAACTTTTTATTTTGAAAATATTTTAAGCATACAGGAAAGTTGAAATAATAATATAGCGAATACCATACGTTCTCCATCTGGATTCAACAATTATGTTCCTGAGTGTGGTGGCACATGCCTGCAGTCCCAGCTACTCAGGAGGCTGACTTGGGAGGATCACTTGAGCCCAGGAGGCCGAGGCTGCAGTGAGCTGTGATTGCACCACTGCACTCCATCCAGCCTGGGCAACAGAGCAAGACTGCATCTCTTAAAAAAACACAAAGATTAAAAGTGACATGGACATTTTGAAGAGTCCTGGCTACTGTTTTCTTTCTTTCTTTTCTTTTCTTTCTTTCTTTTTTTTTTTTTGTTTTCTTTTTTTGAGGCAGTTTTGCTCTTGTTGCCCAGGCTGAAATGCAGTGGTGTGATCTCGGCTCACCACAACCTCCGCCTCCCAGGTTCAAGTGATTCTCCTGCCTCAGCCTCCCGAGTAGCTGGGATTACAAGGCATGTGTTACCATGCCCGGCTAATTTTGTACTTTTTAGTAGAGACGGGGTTTCTCCATGTTGGTCAGGCTGGTCTTGAACTCTTGACCTCAGGTGATCCTCCCGCCTCGGCCTCCCAAAGTGCTGGGATTATAGGCATGAGCCACCGCGTGCCCGGCCCTGGCTACTGTTTTCTACAATGCCCTGCATTCTGACTTTATCTGGCAGTTTGCCTGTGGGGTAGTTGCCTCACTCCTCTATCTGCCATTTTGCCTACCACTGGACACTAGATTTGGAGGTTTGATTAGATTGAGGGTGAAATTTTTGGCAATGCTTCAGGATGATGTGGCCCATATGTTACACCACGTCATTGTATATGTTGGACAAATTATTCGATCTCTCTGTGTCTCACTTTCCTAAACAGTTCATTTACCTCCTGGGTGTGTTTCAAGGATTGCAGGGGTTGATCTACGTGAAGGGTTTAGAACAGTTCCTATGATGCCAGTGGGAGCTGCTGTCAGTACCTTCATTTCCATTCCTGGGACCCCTGTCCTCCTCCCTCCACCCTGACAACTCATCCTCAGCTCTAGGTCTTGGCCTCTAAAGACTTTATGTGCTTGGCAGTCCCTGCATCCCATGACTCGGAGCTGATGGCCTCCATGACGAGGAAGTTGTGGGACCTGGAACAGCAGGTGAAGGCCCAGACTGATGAGATCCTGTCTAAGGTGGGGCCCCAGGTGGGAGAGGGCCAGGGGCCAGTCTGAGAGGTGGAGGGACTGGGCTGGGGAGGCCAGGAGTTGGACTAGGGCGGGTGATTCTAGAACCATCTCCCCGACTGACCTGCCCAGTTTGAGGACCAGGTGTGGCCTGGGCCTGATCTAGGTCCCTGTGACCTGAACCAAGAGGCTGGGGGTTCTTCCCCTCAGCTGAGCAGGACCCAGTAGACCCTGGACTGGGTGACACAGCGGACTGCTGAGCAGAGCGCGGCACCCTCAGATGCGGGGGTCCTCAGGTGTGGGCCGTGCCTCTCCCCACCTCAGAGGAACTGCGAGGGTTATCTGAGGTCCAGGACAAGTGGCCGTGCCAAAGGGTGCCCGGGGCTTGCTGTTCCCCAGCGTCCAACGTAGGCAAAGCTCTGGAGTTTAGGCAGGGCTCTGGGAACCACAGGCCCTGTGCTCACCCTGTGTCTTATGCTACAGGATCGGAAGATAGCAGCCCTGGAGGACCTGGTGCAGACCCTCCAGCCACACCCAGGTAGGAGGTTCTTGGAGGGCTGACCTGCGCCCCCAGTCAGGCACCTCCCCTGGGCCTGGGGCTCCTGGAAGCTTGGACAATGGCTTCTGGCATCAAGAGCATCAAGCTGACTGCTTGGTGGGGTCTGGACAGCTGAGCCCACAGAGGGGCTGCAACATATCCAGGACAGTGCTGGAGTCACTCCGTGCCCTCCTACATGGGACTGAGTCCCATCTGAAGTGTGGAGGACAGGAGGCTCTGAGGGGAGTGGCAGCCTCCTAGAGCCCATCAAGGCACAGCCACAGGGTCAGGGGAGAGGCCAGAGAGGTGGGGAGCCAAGAGGCAGTTCTTGGGGGATCCCCAGAACAGCTTCTCCAGATGACCCTCAGGGCAGAGGTGACCTGGCAGTGTCTTGCTGGAGCAGCTGAAGCCTGTCCCTGTCTTTCCCTGAAGCTGAGGCAGCCCTGCAGCGGCAGGAGGAACTGGAGACGTTGTGCGTGCAGCTGCAGCGGCAGGTCAGGGAGATGGAGGTGAGAGAGGTGCGGCCCCAGGGGATGCGGGCAGCCAGCAGTCCCCAGCTCTGCATGGCATGCTCCTTAGGAACTCGGTCAGAGCCCACCTCTCTGGGCCTCTCCTCATCACATCCCAGCCAGGGACCCTGCCCTGCATTTCCCTACCCAGGACTGGCCCAGAATTTAAAGAGCCAGGGAGGTGTCTGGGGTTGGGGCACAGCCCTGCTTTTGGGCCCTCTGAACGTGCCTCTCCCCTGCTTAGCAGACCTCATGGCTCCCACTGGACTGAATTGCACAGTCCTCGCCGCGGCCTCTGCGTGCCTCTTCATGTTATCTTGAAACACTCTCCCCTCCAGCCACGAGGCCCTTCCTCCGGGTCTTTGACCACATGGAGCTGCTTCCCAACTCAGGGCGTTGGGCAGTGCTGTTGCTGTTTCCTCTACTGAAATGTTTCCCCACCTCCCCCCGGCCAGTTCTACTGGCCTCAGTCATATCCCCCGGGCCTCCTAGGCAGGTTTTCCATCCCATGCTTTCTCAGTGCCTCGTCTCTCTTCCCTTGTGGGATTCTGAACTCCATGAAGGAGGAAGCAGTTTCCTCCTATTTGTCACTGTGCACCCAGGACCTAGCACTGAATTGAAGCAATTTGCTGCCTCTGGCTGTGACTTCTGCTCACTGGGGACTCAGTGACCCCAGTCACCTTTCTTTCCCCCACTCACATAGCCATTCAAACAGCAAGGGAACTAGAGGGACACCAGGCACAGGGAGGGGGCCCAGGCACGCATGGGCCCTGCCAGAAGTTCTTCCTGGGATTCAGCCTCTCTCCCTCTCCACGCAGAATTGGATTCCAAAGTCCCAATCTAATTTAAAACCTTGGCAGCAAACCTCCAGGTGCAGCTGAGAGCCCTTCCCTCTCCAGGCTGTTCATACCTGGGCTTGTCCCGGAGCAGTAGCCACAGGCGGTGAGGGCTGTGCCAGAGCCTCGGGGCAGGGGCATGACTGCCCTTGCAGGCATCTCAGCCACACAGTTACCACATCATTCATTTAACAGCCTCGTCTGGAGGATCTGCCTGGGGCAGGCCTGGGGCAGAGCATGACCAAGACAGACATGGTCCCTGCCTGCATGAGGCTGCCAGTCTGTGGGGAGGGGAACAAATGAATACACAGGTACACAAGTACAGAGAGTGCTGTGACTTGATGAAATGGGTGATACCACAGACGCAAGTTGGGGGACCACCTGTGGGGGTGACATTGGGCATGATGTCTGGTGAATGAGGAGGGGATGGGGTAAGAGGATCCAGGTTTAGAAGGGAAAGGTGCCACTTCCCACCACATAACTTGGCTTGTGGTCAGTGGCTGTGTGGAGGAAGGAGAAGAATGGGAAGACAGAAGAGGTCGTAGGGCCCTCATCACATTGGAGCCGCCCATGGTGCTGACTGGATCCTGTCCTGAAAAAATGGGAAGCCATTGGAAGGCTTCAGTTTGAGAGGTGGCGTGACGAAAAGACCACCCTGCTATGTGGGGGTGGGTGGTGCAGGTGAGGAGAGGACAGGGGGAGGCAGGCACCACCCCTGGATTGTCCAGGAGAAAGATGACGGTGGCTTGAACTAGGGTGGTGGCAGCAGATGGAGCCCAGCAGATGGGTTCCAGGCTGCATTGGAGGGGACACCACAGGCCTTGCGGGTCATCCTGGAGGAATGGGCCACAGAGGATTCTCAGGTGGAGGGGGTGCCATTTCCAGAGACAGGAAAACCTGGCGCGGGGAGAGGTCTGAAAGCGGGGCGGGAGCCATGACCATTAGACATCCAAGTGTAGACGGTTGGAAATGTGAGTCTGGAGCTTGGGTGAAATCTGCATAAATACAAATTTGGGTTCTGTTGTATATGTTTGGGAGAGCGTGTGGATGGAGCTGGGCCCTCACGAGTTGGTGTTGGATAGGAAGGGGAAATGATGAAGGAAACTGGAAAGGAACAGCCCGGGAGATGGGAGGAAAACTAGCAGATGGTGAAAGATAAAGACAGAAACGTGCCCGTGCGCTTGGCAGCGGGTAGGTTGGTGGTGACAGCACCTTGAGCAGTTTCAGAGAGGTGTGGCGATGGAGCCAGGTTAGAGTGGCTTGAGAAAAGAAGTGGGGGTGTGGATGTGTAGACAGTCCAGAAGTTTCCTGTGGCAGAGGGGACATGTGGCCAAGCCCTAGGGAGGCTGGCACATGGTTCACATCCCTCAGCCCTGCCTCCTCACGCTTGGGCCAGGCCACATGGTTCCTGCAGCAAGGAGGCCAACCTTACCAAGCCCTCGCGTGGGCCGGGTACTGGCGGGCGTGAGCTTACTTGAGCCCTCCTCACAAGCTTAGGTGGCAGGAACTGTCATCTCCATTTTATTAGAGGAATCATCTCAGGCTCTAGGGGCTGAAGCAGCTTTCCAAGGTCACAGCCAGGAAGTGGCAAGATCCCCCCACTCATCCCTCTGTCGGGTCAGCTCTGAGGGCCCCATCGCCTGCAGACTGAGGCTGGGCTTTGGGACGACACTCTTTCCCTGGGATGGGGCTGAGCTGACGGTGCCCCTGCGTCTCCCGCTTCTTTCTCACAGCGGTTCCTCAGTGACTATGGCCTGCAGTGGGTGGGCGAGCCCATGGACCAGGAGGACTCAGAGAACAAGACGGTCTCAGAGGATGGCGAGAGGGACTGGATGACAGCCAAGAAGTTCTGGAAGCCAGGTAGAGCAGGGTGTCTGTCCCAGGCCCTCTTCAAAAGGAATTCTCCAAGAGTTTGCTGCTGGCCGGCAGCTCCCCAGAGGCTCATCTCATTCATACCTGGGCCCCTGACTTGAGTCGCCCTGAGAGCCCACACCTTGCCCCTGACACAATGCGGGAGTGGCCTCGGCCTCCATCACTGACCACTTAACCTGCTGGCCCGCTTCTCCCCGGTCCCCACTCTGCTCTCGCTCATCTGTCAGAGACCGAGAGATACAAGAGGTAGCAAGGCCTCATGTGCTTCTGGTTACATAGTCTACAAAATGCCACTCTAGAAGCTGTTGCTGTTTAAAAAAAAGCAATCCTTCTGTTCCGGAAGCTGCTCCCAAATTCTCAGGCTTGGCATCCCTCTCCAGGTTCACTTATCGCCCTTGGAACCCACCTGGTTCTGTGGGCCCCACTGTGTCTTTTTTTTTTTGAGATGGAGTCTCGCTCTGTCACCCAGACTGGAGTGCAGTGGCACGATCTTGGCTCACTGCAACCTCTGCCTCCCAGGTTAAAGCAATTCTTCTGCCTCAACCTCCTGAGTAGCTAGGATTACAGGTGTGTGCCAACACACCCAGCTAATTTTTGTATTTTTAGTAGAGACGGGGTTTCACCATGTTGGCCAGGCTGGTCTCTAACTCCTGACGTCTTGATCTGCCGGCCTCCCAAAGTGCTGGGATTATAGGCTAGAGCCACCACGCCCGGCCTACCATGTCTTATTTTTAACTTGACTGCTAATATCTAGAGGGATTCCTCCCACAGTCCCCTCCTGTAGACCCACAGATTTGGGTCCATAGAACTGGCCATTTCTGAAAACCAGGCCCATTCTCTTCAAAGAATGGGAATTGTCACCCAAAAGTTGATTCTCCAGGCTCTAGAGTCAGGCACGCCTGCGCCCTCAACTTGATCCCACCTCGTATCCCTGGTGTGACTTGGGCAGGTGACCTCTATTCACTTCATCAACAAAACAGGAGTGTTTTCCTTCCCTGGGAGTTACCAGGAGCAAATGAGGTAAACGCAGAGTGCCTAGCTCTGGCCTCGCTCGCAGCCATTGTTGTTTCCAAAGTCTGAGGGCAGGGGTGGTCACAGGAGCACAGCTTCCACGGGGCCCATGTGGAAGATGACGGCACCTTCTTGGTTTCCTGTTTCCTGCTAGGTAAAAACCCAGACTCCAAACATGAGAATCCTGCCTCCTGTTTAGGCCTGGGCTCTGGCCGGATCCCCCCAAATCTCAGGGTGCAACGCCCTTACTGCTTGTTCTGAAAAAAACATCACTTCCCATTTTTGTGCCATTTGCAGCTTTCTTTTCTTTTCTTTTCTTTTTTTGAGATGGATTCTCGCTCTGTTGCCCAGGCTGGAGTGCAGTGGCACAATTTCAGCTCACTGCAACCTCTGCTCCCAGGTTCAAATGATCCTCCCCCAACTTAGCTGTCTGAGTAGCTGGGACTGCAGGCATGTGCCACCACACCCAGCTGATTTTCTTTATTTTTTGTAGAGACGAGGTCTTGCTACGTTCCCAAGGTTGGTCTTGAACTCCTGGATGCCAGTGATCCTCCTGCCTCAGCCTCCCAAAGTGCTGGGATTACAGGCGTGAGCCACCGCGCCCAGCCATTTGCAGCTAGCTTTCAAAGCATTTTCTTTTTTTTTTTTCTTTCTCTTTTTTTTTTTTTTTTTTTTTGAGGCAGGATCTCACTTTTGCCTAGGCTGAGTATAGTGGCACAATCATGGCTCACTGCAGCCTCAACCTCCTGGGCTCAAGTGATCCCCCCACCTCAGCTGTCTGAGTAGCTGGGACTGCAGGCATGTGCCACCACACCCAGCTGATTTTCTTTATTTTTTGTAGAGACGAGGTCTTGCTACGTTCCCAAGGTTGGTCTTGAACTCCTGGATGCCAGTGATCCTCCTGCCTCAGCCTCCCAAAGTGCTGGGATTACAGTTGTGAGCCACTGTGCCATGCCAGCATCTTCATAGCCTTGACAGGGGCCAGGAGTTACTCCATTTCACAGATGGGTAAAGGGAGGCACTTAAGGAGTCTGTGGACTCATTATTCAGGGAAGAGGGGCAAGACTTAAGGCTGACAGCCCACTGGAAGACAGTTGGTCACTGAGGCAGAAGATGAGATGATGCCCAGCTTGAGGGTGGGGATGGTGAGAAGGGATGGGCAGAGAGATTTAGGTAGAATCCGTGGCCTTGGTGTCTTTACGTGAGGGAGAGGACTGGAGCAGTCAGGGATGACCCGAGGGAGCACAGCTGTGGGAAAGATGCCGAGTCCATTTGGGATACAGCAAAGCTGGGGGCTGTGCGGCCCCTGTGATGCTGCACATCATAGGGGTGTCGTGGGGGGAGTTCTCGAGGGACCCCTGGCATGAGTGAGAGGTAAGGCCCTATCAGGTGGCTGCAGGTGCTCTAAAAATGTCTATCCTGGGTCTAGGCCAGAGGCTGACAAGTGCCGCACCCTGGACCCTGCCTGGCAGGCTGGGCACAGGCTTCAGGTAGGCCTGCCATCTTGTTGCAGGGCAGCCTTCCTCCTGGCCAGGGGGGACCTCCTTGCTCCTTTCCAGATGACCGGTTTCTGGACCCGGCTCTGTGGATTCCTACTCTGCCCTGTTTGGTTGGTTGTGCGCTGAGTGCCTCCAGTCAAAATAACTTGTGAAAAACCCTGCCCTCCATCTTGGAGGCCCTGGCCACACATGTGGCCCCTCCGTGCGTTCTCTTCCTTCTTTTGCTTTTTAAATTTTTTCAGCATGGGAGGGGCCTTGATTCGGCGCTTTCTGCCAGATGAATGACGTTTTTCATCGCTAGCAGCTTCTGTTCCTGGGACATCTCTCTCTCCTGCGTCCCCATTCCTCTCTCCCCAGGTGCCAACCTGCTCCTGCCCAGGAGCCTCAGGCTCACAGCCCGGCCCCCGCTGGCCTGATGCTCGGCTGATTGCTCTGCTCTCCCTCTGTTGGAGAGGCTCCTACAGGCGCTGGGGTGGAGGCCTGTGGAGGGTGAGCCAGGGCCGTCTGTACCGAGCCGGGGGAATGATCAAACTTTCTGGAGCCTGAGACTCTTAGGGAGGAGGGCTGGTGGGGCCATGAAGGGGCTTGGCCTCAGGCTGGATCGCTCACTCTCCCCTCTCTCTGCCAGCGTCACAGAGGATGCTGTGCCAGGTGCTTCAGGGTCCGCGGAGACATGAAAGGGACAGTCCGGTCACACGCCACTGGGGCCAGGTGTTGGGCCTCGGGGCTGAGAGCTCTGGTCAGCTCTGAGGTTCTCACTCCCCCCACTCCAACCCTCTGCATCTCTGAGCTCCTCACTTCTTCCCTGTTCCCCTGAGAATCCTCACCCTCCCATCCCCCTCTGAGATCCCCACTTCCCCTACCCCAGGCAGTGCCTGCCTCCCTCCATGCCTCCACCTCTCCCTGCCAGCACCCCGCACGCCTCCCTCCTTCCTCTCAAGCCCCACACTCCTGAGTCTGGGTTGGAGACCCTCTGACTCCACAGCCTGCATGACTCGCCCCTGGGCCTGCCCTTCAATCCCCGTAGCCACCGGCTTGACCCCTCCCCACCTGCCCTTCTGCCTCCAGCCTTTGCTCCTGCTCTGTCCCCACAGAGCGCCTTGCTTGCTTCCCTCTCCTCTGAAGCTCAGGGCAAATCCAGCCTCTGCCAGCAAACTCTGCCTGCCCTGTGTGGGCTGTGCTGCTGCTCTGGGGAGGGTTCTGCTTGAGGGAAGGGGCTAAAGGCTCTGGCTGAGGCAGGGTTCAGGTCGGGTCAGACCCCAGATGGGCAGATTGCTGACCCCCTCTGAGTTCATTTCCTCCTCAGTCGTGCTGATGGGCTTCTAGGGCCACGGAATGGATGTGGTAATAAACTCTGACAGCCACTGTCACCTCGCTGTTGTCATGCATGTCGCAGTGCTTGGCACATGGGCAAGGTGTGTGTAGCTGCATGTGATTGACTGTGATGCCCGTGTGCCCAGGCTTGGATGATCAGAGCACATTGGGACAATTATCTGCACAGGATGAGGTGGGGACAGGGTGGTGCGGGACCTGAGTTCAGGTCCTGCCAGGCCACAGGCTGGTTGAGTGCTCTGGCAGTGGCCAGACCCGCAGGGCCTCGTTTCCTGCACTGGCTCCTCTGCAGAGCCGAGTGACTGCAGTAAAGTCCCCAGAGCGGGGCTCGGCTTGCAGGTGTGTGGTAATAGCGGTTCCACTTCCCGTTGCAGCTCTCTTTGCCTGAGGGTCAAGGGCAGGCACATGGAGGGTGGCACCGCATGAGCTGCCGGGTGCCATGGGCACTTGTGCAGTGAGGGACTGCCACCTTGCCACTGAGCATGGCAGGGTCTGGCCCTCTTCTGGGCTCCACAGCCCCCACAGTGATACTTACACATGCCATTGTCACCGTTTGCCGCCCTGTCTTCTTCACTTGAGTCTGAGCCTGAGGATGGCAGGACCCTGGGCGTGGGCATCACCATGATTGGCAGGGTCTAGCAGAGCACGGATGCTCAGACATTGCTAGACAGCAGGATCCAGCCCTGCTTCTAGTGGCCCAGTCACTCTGGGCCAGGCCCAGGGCTCAATGCTCCTGAGCTCAAGGGGTACCCAGCATGGCTGGAAGGCAAACAAGCAAGCAGAAAGCAGCAGCCTGTGACGAGGGCCAAGGGAGTGGGTGCAAGGGCTCTAGGCATGCAGCCTCGAGGCAGGTGGGGGGGCTCCTAGCAAGGCTTCTTGGAGGAGGTGGGGGTGAGTAGGCACAGTTTGAGCTCAGCAATGAGTAGGCGGTGCTAGGGACAACAACAGCCACCACCTGCCAAACACTTCCTCCAAGCCTCACAGCAGCCCTGTGAAGTGTGGCAACTTTTATTGTCCTCATTGTACAGAAGAGGAAGCTGAGGCCCATAGAGGCCCAGGGTTACAGAGCTCGGAAGTGCCCTGCAGTGCCCACCAGAGCGCAAGGCGGGGGGCATGTTGAGGAGAGGCTGGGGAGGCTGGGTGCTAAGTAAGGGTCTTGGGAGTTGGGCCAAAGAGCTTGGACTTGACCTCCCTTCTCCTCATTTTAATACGCTTGTGGGCTCTCAAAGTTGGACGAGGCCTCAGAAGTGATCTCCCAGCGTTGCCACCCTCCTTGGAAAAGGGACCCCAGTAAGCAGCCTCCCAAGAACCAGTATTGAGAGGCAGCTTATGAGATCACTGAGCACTGAGGCTGAGTCACTTGGGCCCTGCAAGATGCATGATCTGGGGTGTGACACCTCACAAGGCCCAATTTCCTTATCTGTAAAACAGGAACAGTGATGCCTGCCTCCTGGCATTTGGCACAGGGCCATCATTTAGATAGGTTCACCAGCTGGATCTTGCAGGCAGCACAGGGTTCATATCATCTCCCCATTGCACAGAAAGGACAGCTGTGGCTCAGAGAGGAAGCGCCTTTCCATTTGAGTTCTGCTGCTAGCTCAGGGCAGACCTGGGACTTGCCCTCTGACCTTCCTCCTGCTGTGTGAATCCCCAACTACACCTCTCTCCATCCATGGGTCAGGCCTCAGTTGAACCCTTGTGGGGTGGTGGTGGGGCTCACTGACTTCACAAGGCCCTGCTGTGATAGCTTTTCCTGTCTCATTCTGTCAGTGCTGGTTTGCCCAGAGCTGTAGTTCCTTCTTCCTGGCCCCTGGTCTTATCTCCACTCTGTGATATCCAGCATCTGCCTAGCCCACCTGCTTTTACTTCTTTAAGCCAGGGCTGTTTTCTTGGCAAGCTTCTCTCTTCCCTTTTGTCGTTTCTCGGCATCCTCCCTGGTCTGGCCCCATCCCATGTCGACCACCCATGTTCATCAGCCTGAAAAACCCCTGGCCCTGGGAGGTGACAGGAACACTGAATTAGGAGTTGGTGTATTTGGTGCTCTTCCTGGCTCTGTCTGGTCTGATCAGGCCATGTCATCTGACCTTTCTGGGCCTCACTTTCCCCATCTATAAAGAAGACAGAGCCCTGGCAACACAGCGAGACCCCGTCTCTTAAAATTTTTTTTTTTTTAATTAGCAGAGTGTGGTGATGCTGTCTGTGGTCCCAGCTACTTGGGAGGCCGAGGTGGGAGGATCAGTTGAACCTGGAAGGTCGCGGTTGCAGTGAGTCATCACCGTGCCACTGCACTCCAGCTTGGGTGACAGAGGGAGACCCTGTCTCAGAAAAAAAAAAAAAAAAGAGGGTTGAGGCAGGCATTGTATGAGATTATCTATTCTGCTATTGTTCTTAGGTTTGCCTATTTGTATTTAAAGTAGTTGTTAAAAGAAAATCATGTCTTGGTATCATTCTGTTAGGTGAGTTTTTCCAGGGCATCTCAGGGACTGTGGGGGAACCCCAGGAGAAGGTGGGGGCAGGTATAGCCCCTTCAGCGGTAGGAAGTGTAGGGGAGAGGAGAAGGCCAGCTGGGGCCTACCATTTCACCTGCTGCAAAAGCAACAGGAAGCACATCTGCACCTCCCTGGTACAGCCACTGCACCACTGAGAGGAAAGGAATTGGGTCCCCAGAGCCCTGACCCACATCCTGCCGCAGCCTGCCTGCCCTGTGAAAAACAGCCTCTCCGAGGCCCCGAAAGTTACTGGTGTGTTGTAGGGCACACCCGAACAGATGACTTACTTGGGGACCAGGTCCCATCAAAGATGACAGAACAGGCCCCTCGTCTGTCCCCAGCCAGCATCTACGTGTCCTCCACTTTTCTGCTCTGTTATCCGTCATGGCTGGCCCCACCACTCCATATTCTCCCCCGAAGCCAGTGCACAGCTGTATGTGCCACACATTTTTCAGAAGAGGAGGACAGAGCTTTGTCAGCTTCTCAAAGGGGTCTGTGACCCAGAAATAGTTGCACAACCTACGGTCTGTTCCATATCTGTTCTGGCCAGCAGCTGTCCCTACATCCTCCCTAAGAGCCATCTGTCCCTCTTCTGACCTCCCTCTCCTGAGATGGGTGGGGGAAACAGACTTGAGAGGCAGCCCCGACTCCCTTCCCAGTTCCTCCTCTCACCAATTGGCTTGGGACAAGTCATTTTTCATCTCAGTAGGCTTGTTTCCTCATGTGTAAAATGGAGCTAAATAACCCCTGCATCAGCCTGGCGTGGTGGCTCATGCCTGTAATCCCAGCACTGTGGGAGGCCGAGGCGGGCTGATCACCTGAGGTCAGGAGTTCCAGACCAGCCTGACCAATATGATGAAACCCCATCTCTACTAAAAATACAAAAATTAGCCGGGTGTGGTGGCATGCACATGTAATCCCAGCTACTTGGGAGGCTGAGACAGGAGAATCACTTGAACCCAGGAGGGGAGGTTGCGGTGATCCAAGATTGTGCCATTGCACTCCAGCCTGGGCAACAAGAGTGAAACTCTGTCTCAAATAAATAAAAATACCCCTGCCTCAAGCCTCAGGGTTGGCATAAGGACCATGTGTGCAAGGTGGAGTTGGGCACAGTAGCAAACATGGACAGGGTACGTGTTCCAAGCTGGCTCTTAGGAAGATAGCTGCTGTTACTATCTAGTGTTGTCCTTCCTTTTCCCCAGGGAGTCAGTTGAGGAGACACTAAGACCACTGCCCAGCCTGGGAGGGAGCCACAGAGACTAGGGCTGCTAGGGACACGGCAGCCAGGAGGCGGCTCATAGGTGTCTGTCCTCTTTGCCAGGGGACTCATTGGCGCCCCCTGAGGTGGACTTTGACAGGCTGCTGGCCAGCCTGCAGGATCTTAGTGAGCTGGTGGTAGAGGGTGACACCCAGGTGACACCAGTGCCCGGCGGGGCACGGCTGCGTACCCTTGAGCCCATCCCACTGAAGCTCTACCGGAATGGCATCATGATGTTCGACGGGCCCTTCCAACCCTTCTACGATCCCTCCACACAGGTAGGAGCGGTGTTGGGGGGTTGGTGTTCTAATGCCCCTGCTGCCCACTGTTGGTTGGGGATGATGGAGTCAGTTCACCCCAGGTCCAGCCTGCCCTCCATGGGGCACCCAGGCCCACATACGACTTGCAGATGCCCCTCCCCCAAGGCCTGGGACTCAGCTTCCAGAGTGTAGCACTGGGTGACCCTGGATCTAGGGCCTGCCATCCAGACTAGTGGCAGGGCAGGGTGGGTCCAAGGCCCAGGCTACCCGCTCACTTTTCCTCTCCCCTTGCAGCGCTGCCTCCGAGACATATTGGATGGCTTCTTTCCCTCAGAGCTCCAGCGACTGTACCCCAATGGGGTCCCCTTTAAGGTGATGAGCTGCTCCTCAAACCACACCTTTGGGGATTTTGGAGGCCGTGAGGATACACAGCCTCCCCAGGCACCTCCCATTCTGAGGGAAAGCCACTGCGCCCCCTGGGGGACCCCAGTTTGATGCCCTCCAGGAGGATAAGCCTGAAGCCGGGCTGGGAAGGGAGCAGGGAGGACCGAAACAGAGCAGCAGGCAGCGCCCTCTGCTGGCACCCTGGAGACAGCCTCGGCTGCAGGGCCACTGCCTCCCAGTCCTCCCCACCAACTTTCAGGACACCTTGACAACCTGGGGTCCCTGCAGAAGTGACCCGGCTATCCCCCAAGTCTCCTGAAGCTATCTGGGTAGGGTGGGAGGCAGTGCTGTGAGCCACATGCAAAACAGAGGGGACAGATGTTGGGACTCAAGGACATAAGGTAGAGCTGGCCCATGGGTAGGTGCCACCACCGGAGCCCGTGAGGCTGCGTGTTCCAGAGGGTGGTGGGTTAGTGCCGCACTGAGGGCGTGTCAGGGAGGCAGCATGTGTCACCAGGGCTCAGGAAACAGCATGAGTCATGACTGGGGGTGTTTAAGGCATTTGTGCCACAATGGGGGCCTCGGAGCCTTGATGAGGCAAGTGAGGTTCCATGTACGATGATGCAGTTTGTGCTGCAGACTGGAAAAAAGCAGGAGCTTCGTCCTCTCCTGACCCCCTCACACTCTGCCTTCATGGTAGGCTCCTGAGAGGGGGTCTCCAAGGAGGGTGTCAGTACTGCAGCTTCAGCTGGCCTGGATGGGGTGCTTGCAGGAGCAGCAGGGCCGAGGAAGATGACAGCAGTATGAACTGTGGCTCTCCTGAGGCCTGGGTTTCCTCATATGTAAAATGAGGGTTGCATTAGACCATACCCTTGGCCTGTGTTTAGGCAGATAGGGCTGAAAGTGGGGCCAAGGGCTGAAGAGCTGGGCCCACTGCTGTCACCCTTCTTTCTTGCCAGGTGAGTGACTTGCGCAATCAGGTCTACCTGGAGGACGGGCTGGACCCCTTTCCAGGCGAGGGCCGTGTGGTGGGCCGGCAGCGGATGCACAAGGCCTGGGACAGGGCGGAGGAGCACCCAGGTGAGTTTGGCCTCCAGGTTGAGGCAGGGGGCCGGGGGACTGCAGAACAAACTCCAGGGGGGCTCCATCACCACTCATAGTCCTTCCTGGGCCCCGGTTCCCAATGCTGTCCCTGCAGGCTCCAGGATGACTGCTGAGAAATTTCTGAACAGGCTCCCCAAGTTTGTGATCCGGCAAGGCGAGGTGATTGACATCCGGGGCCCCATCAGGGACACCTTGCAGGTGAGGCCAACCCTAACTCCCCCAGCCCTCTTGGGGGAACTAGCACCAGCCCTGGTCCAGCCTGCCAGAACAGTGTCTTATCTGGAGGCTCAAGTTTGAGGCACCTGATGAGTCCCTCAGAGCTGTTGCTCTACTGTCTCCTGGAAACTGTGAGGCTAGTGAGGGCACTGGCTGGGCCCTAGAAAGCAGGTGGGTTGGCTGTAAGAGGGCTAAAGTCAGTCCAGGCCAGGGGTGAGCCCAAGGCCCAGGCCACCCCATCAAGGTCTAGTCCAAAATATCCAGCTCAGTACCGGGTACTCCCTTCGTGGTTGCCTCAGATTCTCCTTAGCCCTCATCATTCTGTCTCCTCGCCCCCTATCCTGCTTCTCTTCCTAGTTGTCCACATGTGAAAGGCACCAAACCTTAGTTTCTCAGGCCTCCTCTGCCTCCCTCACCCACACATTGCTAAGTCCTGTCTGGTCTGTCCACCCCCAGAACTTCTCCCAGATGCATCCCTTCTCCTGATTCCCACCACCCACCACCCTAGTCTAGGGTCCAGAGTATCTCTCCCAGACAGCTGCCTCCCACTGCCACTCCTGCCCCTGCTGACCATCCTCCAGGCTGCCTTCCCTGTTGATATCTTCCAGTGGTTCTTGAGATAAAGCCATGTTCCTTATGCTGGCACTCAAGGCCCGTCCTATATTGCCAGGCCCCTCCTCACACCAACCTATTCCTTCCAGTCCAATTGAGCCCCAGCTTCAGCCACACATAATGCTGGCAGTTGCCCAAATGTGTCACCACCTCTAGGAAGCTTTCCCTGACCCCAGGATCTCTGTTGATGCTGTCTGGAATATCCCTGCACCCATTCCATTTCTAAGGACTCCCACTCATCCTTCAGTCACAGCTCAGTTGTCATTTTCCGAGGGAAGCCTTCCCTGACCCCAGGCTGGGGTGGGCTTCCAGCCTGATCATCATCTGTGTGGGTTTCTGTCTCCATTAGACTGAAACCGGGGGTTACCTGGGGGGGAACCATGGGGCTGCCTCCCAGAACCTCCTTCCCCTTCCATTGCCTCTCCTCTGGCCTTGGTTTATACAGAACACCCCCTCCTGCTTTGCTCACTGGTCTCATCTGTCCCTGGTCAAGGATGTGTCCCTTTAAGGATTGTGGGAATGACTCAAATGGGGCCTAGGGCTCTGTCCACCCTCCATTGATACCTTCCAGAACTGCTGCCCATTGCCTGCCCGGATCCAGGAGATTGTGGTGGAGACGCCCACCTTGGCCGCTGAGCGAGAGAGGTGAGGGCAGGACAAGGAGGTGAGGGCCTGGGGGCATTGGGTCACCGAGCGCTGATGGCTTCTGGGCTGTGCAGGAGCCAGGAGTCGCCCAACACGCCAGCACCCCCGCTCTCCATGCTGCGCATCAAGTCTGAGAATGGGGAACAGTCCTTCCTACTGATGATGCAGCCTGATAACACCATTGGGGATGTGCGAGCCCTGCTAGCGCAGGCCAGGTGGGCACAGGGCAGGGCTGGGACCACAGAGGGGCCCAGGCCTCACTGCCCAGCCTGATCTGCTCTGCCTGGTCCCCAGGGCCATGGATGCCTCTGCCTTTGAGATCTTCAGCACATTCCCACCCACCCTCTACCAGGACGATGCACTCACGCTGCAGGCTGCAGGCCTCGTGCCCAAAGCAGCACTGCTGCTGCGGGCACGCCAAGCCCCAAATTCCAGCCCGAACTTCAGTCCTAGTCCAGGTCCCGGCCCCAGTCCCAGCCCCCAATAAAGCGCCCGCCCCCTCAACCCGCTGCTCCGCCAGGCTCTCAGGGGTGGGCCATCTTGCCAGGCACGTAGGAAAGGCCTGGGACCAGCTGGGCCAGGGAGGGGGCGGTGCCGACCCGCCCCTTGGTAACTTGAGCCCCAGCTGGCGGGCCTGGCTCCTGGGTCTTTGTCTTCTAGGTTCCTCTTTCTCCCAAGAAGGGCTAAGTGGATCCTGTGAAGGGAGGGATGCAGTTGGGGGAAGGAGCTGGCCCCAGCTGGGTTTACATTCTCAGCTGGGACAGCAGAGCCTCACTGTGTAGTGTGCAGCCAGCAGATACCTGGGCACAGGCACAGACCCACCAACTTGTGGGGACACCTCAACACTGCACAAAGCCATTTTGCCACTGGACCCATGCCCCCAAACTAGCAGAACTGCAGCTGGGTACCCACCTCCCATGACACACTCATACTTAGCCATTGTGCTCCAACACAGGTGCATGGGATGGCCACACTCACTGACAGGCATGCAAATGTGCAGTACACACCAAGGCACAAGTGTGATATGGACACCACATGCATGTGAACTGGAGGGTCACCCACCCAGACATCTCCAGAAACCACTGGTCCATACAGGTATGTGTGTACCAGACATATCCAAACACATGCACTAACACAGAGGTGACAGTCCCATGAGAACAGCTCAGCCACCCTTCCCACAAAGCACAGTCTCAGCACAGTCACAACTACCAACCTTGCCCAGGGCAGGGACCCAGGAAGCCCAGGCCACAACCAACCAGACACAGTGCCAATGGAACAGGACATCATTTAATTGTCTCTAGGGTCCTCCTGGGAGAGGGACTGCGGGGCCTTTGGCAGAGCTCTGGCTGATGGAACCAATAGAGGTGCCCATCAGCCAGTGCCAGGCAGGATGGCGGCCCCAATGCTTGGCTAGGGGCAGCCAGCATTTGGGGCTGTTGCTTAAGACAATTTCTGAGACTAATGGGTAAGGAATGTTGCCTTTGGATGGAGAAGAGGGGACTACATTTAGAGAGGAGGGAGGAGAAGTGGCCTGGATTGCGGGAGGGACTCTAAGGTTAGGATAGGAATGACAGGGAGTTGTTCAAAAGGTCCTTCATGGCCAGGTGAAGGCTTGGGGGAGTGTGGTGATGGAGTCCAGCAGGGGAACTCTGGACAGGCTTGACTCAGGCCAGCTTCAGGAACTCCTGCAGCGTGTTTTGTTCCACGGCCTCCACGAAGAGCTCATAGTCCTGGGGAAGGGGAGGCAAGGGGTGGTCACCTGAATGCAGGAGGCCCAAGTGCTTTGTGGCAGATCTGACCCTGGCCAGAGCCCTCTTCCAACACTCCCCCCACCCCCGAGTCCCCCAGCCCATACCCCACAGTACTGGTCCCCGTTGACAATCTGGGGTGGGGTGGCCTTGGGGTTGCCCGCCAAGGCTCGCATCTCATCCCTCAGGGCGTTGTCCTGGGAGATGTCCACTAGCTGGTATTGGATGCGCTTCCCATCCAGGATTCGGGTCACCTCGCTCTGCTGGGACTTGATCTGGGGACAGAGGGTGGGTAGGGGTTATTGGATAGGCTGGAGGATTTATGGGGGGAATGCTGGGCAGGGTGAGAGAGGCTGTGACCAGGAGCTTTTGTCCCCCCGACCCCCCTCCACACTAGGGGAGGGTTCTGGCCTCTAGGAGTTGGGAGGATGAGTCAGGCTTGAGGTGGTGCAGGATGAAAAGAGGGATCAACTACGGGGAGGGGGTCAGAGTGAAGGGAAGTGGGATCAGGCTCAGGGTGGGGAGGGCAGGGCAAGCCCCCCAGGCCCCGGAAGAGCAGGTTGCCGTCATGGTCAGGGTCAGCCTGGTAGTGGGAGTGCAGAGAATGGATGTGGGGTTGATGGGGGATGGGCACGGGAAGTTCATGCTGCAGCTGCAAAGGACCCAGGATGCCCGATGAAGACGCTCAGGATGGGGCCTCGGGACCGGATCCGGGAGACAGTGCCCAGCACCTCGCCGACGCACTCCCTCACCCCGTCCCCGTCGTGGGGGCGGGTCCCGGGCGCCAGGGTCCAAAACACTGGGACACAACCCTGAGCTCTACCCCCTCCAGCGCCAGTCCGGGCGCACACTTACTTCGCGGGAGCCGGTGACCGACGTGCTGTAGACGCGCAGGCCGCTCATGCTGGGGGTAGACGGGCCGGCGGGCAGAGAGCGGCAGTAGTGGCAGCTGCACTGCCGGGAGACGACGCCGCCGCCGTGCTCGGGAGCGGTTTCCTTCCTGCTCCGCCCGCAAGTCATCGCGCTCGGGACCAATGGGCGGCGCGGACAGGCGGGGCCTGCGCGACACCGCCCCGCGAGCCGGAGGCCCCTTCCCTTCCCCCTGGGTGACCAGGCGCGCAGAGGGATCCGTCCCACGCAGGGTCGCCCCTTCTGTGGCTGCCCTGCTCGTCCTTTTCGGCCCTTCCCTGATCTGGAGCTCAGTGTGCCTGGGGAGGAGCTGGGTGGCAGGAAAGGCCCGGGAGAGGGTCTGGCAGAAGCCGCCTCTCCAACCGCACACAGGTTTGGTGCATCCAACTTCCCATCTACCAGAGCCGCTGTCTCCAGGAGGAGGTGCCCTAAATAGTACAGGGCAGCTTGGGGCTTTGGAAGGTTTGAGCTGCTTTCAGACCCAAAGTTCCCATATTAAGGTACCTTGCTCCAAGGAAACCCCCCTCTCCCCCGCCAACACACCACTAACCCTAGGGGATAGGAAGAGCCCATGCTTACATTTCCCCCCCAAGTTCCTCTCCACTCAGGTGGGAAGGTTTAGACAAGGAAGGGTGGTGGCAGGATGCAGAGGCCACACCCCCAAGGAACCAGATGGAGACCAAGGCTGACAGCTGGGAAGTGTGGCGGTAGAGGGTGGTGTCAGGATTCTTGAGACCCTAGGGTCAAGCTGACCTAAGATCCACCCCTGGTCTTGGGGTGGTCCAAGCTCAACCCCAGCTCCATGCATGCATGCCCCAAACTGCTACTCCTCCCAGCAATTCAGGAGTTGAGGGGACAGACTCCAGCAACCAACCCAATTTTGGAAACCTAGCTATCTGGCATTCAACATAATGCTTCTCAGATGTCCCCCTGGTCCAGGGCTCAGGCAGGTAGCAGCCCAGAAAGACAACCCTTGCTCTGGTAAAGCCACTTCCTCACAGCAACCCAGAGGCTGCCAACTTCCTGAGGACTGCTGAAACTTTCCAGTGACAAACTTCTGCTGTGACTCAGGGAAAGTTTGCCCAACAGAAAGTGAGTGGGAAGAGATCTGGTCCTACAGAACGACAGAGGAGCAGAACTGGCAGAGAGAGGGATAGGAGGCTGGGACCTGACAAAGGTTCCTCCATGCTGCTACCTGGGGGACCTGGCTGAAAACCCAGACTTTGGCTCTAACCAAAGTGAGGGGTAGAATAGCGTGGTGGTGGTGATGGAAGGGTATGGAAAACTGAGGAGTCTGTTAAGATATTTTATTTTATAATCAAAATAGGCAATACAAACAAGTTGACATAACAAAGATTCATATAAATAACTGGTTATAAACTTTATGAGGAAAAATACCCGTGAGCATGGTGGCTGGGCTCCCAATGCACAGGGTGGAGACCAACCAGACGGCTCTGCCTTTAAGAAGCAGGAGCCCAGAGGCTGAAGGGCTGGCTGGGTGGGGCTGCTCTGAATGGAAGGGATAAGTCACTCCATAAATAAAACACAAACTTGTAAAAACACTTAAGAAAGAGCCTCATTCAGGCCCAGGCATGAGGTCCATGATGCTGCCAACAGCCCAAAGCTTAGCAAAAATCTTGTAGTGGCTGACTGGCCCACACCTGGCCCCTGCCTGGCCTGGCTCCAGATCTAGATGAGGCATGGCTGGCCCACCAACCAGACACTAACAAGTGTGAGATGCTCCCTAAACCAGGAGGCAAGAAAAACCAGAGGGCAAAGGGCCCTCCCTAAAGCCCCAGAGAAACAACCCAGGAAACATTAAAAGCTGTACTTTAAAGCTGACTTATACTGGGTACTCTGAACTTTCAAGAAGGCCAGAGCAGGAAAGGGAGAGGAATAATCCCCACCACCCCCAATACAAGAGAGGCACAAATTAAAGGGCTGGGCACAGGCTGTAGCCCTCGGGTGAGGGGGTAAGCAGCTTGACAGTTGCGCTGTGGTCTTTGGGATATAATTCTACCCAAGGCTAGAACCACAGGGAAGAGTTTGCACTCAAGTCCAGGAAGGGGGCTACCTGGAAGGCCTGAGAACAAAGGAGAAAGGGGCTGTGCTAAACACATGGCCAGGGCCCTAGGGACACAAGGCAGCTGGAGAGTGGGATCTCTTGTTAAATGGCATGGTAGGCAGATTAGAGTCCCGGCTATAATCCCTAGGGCCCCAATCCTAGTAGTTATGTGCTAACCAACACACTACCCTGAGGCTTCTGGGACAACAAGAGCCCTGAGGAAGAAGCAGTGAGACCAGGCATGAGAAAACCCAGAAAGCCAGCTCAGTGTTCCCAGGAAGGCTGGCACATGGGGCCTGAGAATTCTTAAATGGCCATTGCTACTAGTACTCCCTCGGCCTTTCCAGGCCCCTCTGATGAGCTCTCTAATCAGCAGGACCAAGGTGTGAAGTGGGAATTAACAGGGATCCATCCCATTGGATGAAGAAAGGTGAACAGCCTGTTCGTCTCTGATGTCAGCCTAGGGCTGGGAACAGTTTGTGAGGACTCATCTATTGTACCTGCCAAAAGGTAATTAGTAACTCACCGTTGAGAGTGAATTAGCAGGACAAACATAATCCAACATGCCAGTGTGGGGTAGGACAGTTCCCTAATCAGCCCTTGGCCTCCAGATGCAGGCTCTCCCCTCCCCTTCTGACACTTCTCTCTGGGAACAGCAGACAAGAGAATGTCAGGGCAGAAACCTGCTGGACTAGGCTCTCAGCAGCCCAGATCCTCCCTGGGGGAATCCCCCAGAATTCCTCACTGTGTGACACAGTTTTCTCCCATGTCCTGGGCATATCTGTCTGACATGGTGGTCCTTAAGTCCTCAATGTCACGACGCAGCTGTTGAACCTCCTCTAGTTTCCTCTTGATCACATCTGGCTTCTGCAAATCTAGCTGAGTCTCTGGGTGCTGTGCTGCTGGGGAGAACATTTCAAGAGAACGTTAGTTGCAAGACACTTTCATGTGGAGGGCACAGTATGGATAGGCAGTATCTTGAACTCACAGTCTTGGGACATACACTTTAAAAAAAGCATCTGGGGACAGTGGGTTAATTTGCTGCTGAAGGCCTGCTTTTAGTTTGTCCTGCATGCAAGTACCCCATAGCTTGTTTCCAAAAACAGATTTATGAACACCTACTTTGCGAAACAAATAAATGTCCAGAGGGCAGTGGCCAGGCCTATGTACTCTGTCTACATATTACTGTAAGAATATGGGAAAGTGGGATGGGAGAGAGAAGAGAAAGAAGGCCCCTCCTTCCTGGGCCCCAGACTGGTCTGAGGACTCACAGTGAATGCCTAGGAGCAGGGAGAGATTGGGATCATGGCCCTGGGCCCTCTGGGTCACAATGCTACAGACAGCCTGCAGATCTTGAAGGCAACTAGCCAACTCCTGGTACAGCTCAAGTGCCAGCTGGGCTGTGTCTGGTGAAGGTGGAGACCCTGGTTGGGCCTGGCGCAGGTGTTCCTGGAGTGTCAGATTCTTCTCAATCAAGTCCTGGTTTTGCACTGAAAGCTGAGCAGACAGATGGGTAAGCACATTAACTCAGGCCCAGGGAGAGGAAGAGTATCTATGCATGTATGTGTGGGTGTGGAAGGAATGGGTGAGTCACAGGCAGTGTCCCCCCTTCCCCAACCCTACCCCTGCCAACAGGCTTTAGCACTTCCCCCACTATCAATATCAGGCCTGATTCTTCCTGTGGGTAGGCTGGGCCCACAGGGCTCTAGCACTAGAGAGGAAGCCAACACTCAACTGGTTCTGAATCATCAGCATCCAAGTTTCTGTTCAAGAACCAGAGAAGATGCTCCCGCCCCTAGGAACTCTATCTCAAGTCAGTCCCTCAGCCAACTCTGTTAGCCAGGCTATTAGAGAAGGTTTACCGTGAACCGTGAAATCTGAGGAGACACTGGTTTCAATCTCTCCCTGCCACCCTGACAAAAGTGGCCACCAGCCAGCCTGATCACAGTTGTGTCAAAGGAATAAAGACAGTAAGAAAGACAGTATGACAGCTAGTAGCCACTAGGTGAGGGGCTGGAGAAGCTGGGACCTGGAGGATCCAGCCCTGGAACAAGTCCTGCCTTTTCAAACTCTCACCTCAGTGGAGTCAGACTTTATTACAAAAACCATCTATTCATGTATGTCTGTCTGTTTCCCTCTCTTCCTGACAGCTTAATCCACTTCCCTTCCCTTCCTACCTTGACTGTGTTTTTATACAGTCTGAACAGAGTCCCTCCTTCAGTCCCAGGCCCTCCACCCACACTGGGCCATGTGACAATCCTAGCTAAAGGAGGTTCCTTCCTAGGTACTAGGCCAGTCAGTGAACTTGATTGCCCCCTGCTGACAGCTCTGTTTAGTGCATGAAGGCCACCAAATCCTCAGTCTTCTCGAACTCTCCACTCCCCAACCCCAGAAACCTGCGGCTTCAAGAAGACAAAGGAAGAGAGAATGACTTTCCCCATCAAAAAGCATTCCTGGGCCTGGCGCAGTGGCTCACACCTGTAATCCCAGCACTTTGGGAGGCTGAGGTGGGCGAATCACGAGGTCAGGGGATGGAGACCATCCTGGCCAACGTGGTGAAACCCCGTCTCAACTAAAATACAAAAAATTAGCCGGGCACGGTGGCTCGTGCCTATAGTCCCAGCTACTCAGGAGGCTGAGATGGGAATCGCTTGAACTCGGGAGGTGGAGGTTGCAGTGAGCCGAGATTGTGCCACTGCACTCTAGCCTGGCAACAGAGCAAGACTGTCTCCAAAAGAAAAAAAAAAAAAAAGAGAAAAAAAAGCATTCCTAGGTAACAATTATGGACGTGCTAAAACAGGCTTAGAGTCTGTAATATAAAGGATGATGCAATGCACCTTTCCTCTGCCCCCAAAGCTCAGTAGGGACCTTTCCCTTTCAAACACTGAGGTTCCTACTGGAGTAGAGATGGGGAGGGCATACAAAGAAATCGGGTTTGTAGAGGCAGAACCAAGAGGTCTGACTAATGCTACTCACCTCCTTCACGGCTGTGCGCAGCTGCTGCAGGGCTGAATCCCTTCGTTGGGCCTCCTCTCTCAGGGCCTGGCTTGTTCCTTCTTCTTGAGCCACTTCCTGCTCTAGGCTCTGAATCACACAGCCAAGATGTTGAGGGAACACAGGAGTAACAAGTCTGGTTCCAACAATATCACCGCTGGCTTGGACTATATAGTGAAGACTCACCCTACCTACACACTCCTGCTAAGAAATCATTTTACAACAGTCCTGATTTGTGACCTCCCATTTAAGCCCTCCTATAGCCCTTGACCACATACCAAATAGAGGTCAGCTTCTTAGAAGGGCATTCAAGGCCACGGTAGCTCCTACCTACTTTTCTAGCCATATCTCTTTCCACCCTCCACATGGTCAGCCTCTACACTGCCATAATGAATGACTGGCCCTCATCCCTGAAGGCTGCAGCATCAATGCTTCTGCTCACTTCCCTTTTCCTTTGTTCAAGCTGCTCTTCTGCTGTTACCTCCAGGAAACCTCCAAGGCCCACCTGAGCTTTCTTCAATCTGCAAATCAGGTCCAATTAATCCTAATCCTACCTTGCTATCATATCCATCATGGCTTACAAGTACATCTGCTTAATATTCTAGTTGGCTATGCACATGATCCTTCACTCCACTCAAACACAAACTTTCTCGAGGGCAGGGAATGTGCTATTCAGCTGAGTTCAGTATTTACTGAGCGCTTACTGTGACAGGCACTGAGGAGAACACCAACAGTTCCTGTCTTTTAGGAGTTAACAGTCAAGTGCTCTTGACAATACTGTCTATTAAATGCTGTTCAGAGACATGGAAAGGGGTAGGAGAGCATACTCACAGGTGCCTAATCTAGTGAGTTCTGTGTAAGTGTGTTCGTGTGTGTAGGAGGGGTCAGGGGAAGGGAGATATTTAAGCTTTTAAACTTCTGCCTCATTCTATTGATTCAATTTTTCCTCAAATTTTGAAACTGATTTGAAGTGTGCAATTTTTTTATATTTCTCATTTTATATCAATAAAAAAATATAACTGCCAAGGAAAACACCCCGTGATCATGAAATATCCAAAGTGACGATGAATCCATCTAATTCCAACAAATTCACCTGATATATATATATATATTTGAGATGGAGTCTTGCTCTGTCGCCCAGGCTGGAGTACAGTGGCATGATCTCAGCTCACTGCAACCTCCGCCTCCCAGGTTCAAGCAATTCTCCTGCCTCAGCCTCCCGAGTAGCTGGGACTACAGGTGCGTGACACCACGCCCGATTAATTTTTTGTATTCTAGTAGAGATGGGGTTTCACCTTGTTAGCCAGGATGGTCTCAATCTCCTGACCTCGTGAGCTGCCCACCTCGGCCTCCCAAAGCGCTGGGATTAGAGGCATGAGCCACCGTGCCCAGCCTCACCTGATATTTTAATTTGCTTAAGTAGTCTTATCATAGGTAAATGTGCCATTTAAAATGTCAGGCCTTTCCAAACTTTGTAGAACCCCAAGGGTTCTAGGAAACTTATTTTGAGATCCATTAAAAACTCTACTAAAAACCTGGGATTTTAAATGGGTATATATTAAAATGCTTGCCAGGCTTGACTACCTCCTTACAGGACTTGAAAGAGGTGAACCAGATAGACGTAGCCCAATCCACATAATGGCAAAGGCAAGGCTGCAGCCTCCATTTATTCCCTCAAAATAAGTGCATTTCAGGTGTTTTGGTGTGAAAACTTTTAGAGTCCAAAGAGACACTGAGTGAACCTGCTTTACCCAGGATTTCTTGGAGAACCCAGTTAAAAACACTCCCACTCTGGCCCAAAATAGAAACCTGGAGTCATCTTTGATTCTTCCCTGTTCTTCAACCCTTACATCTTGTCAGTCACTGATTCCACTTGATGTTACCTCCTAAAGTCACTTAAATCTATCCCCTCGGGGGCCGGGCGCGGTGGCGCAAGCCTGTAATCCCAGCACCTTGGGAGGCCAAGATGGGCGGATCACGAGGTCAGGAGATCGAGACCATCCTGGCTAACACGGTGAAACCCCGTCTCTACTAAAAAATATTTTAGACGAGTCCCCTCGCTCTGTCGCCAGGGCTGGAGGTGCGTTGCGCAGATCACGGCTCACTGCAAGCTCCACTCCCGGGTTCACGCCATTCTCCCGCTCAGCCTCCGAGTAGCTGGACTACAGGCGCCGCCCACCACGCCCGGCTAGGTTTTTGTATTTTTAGGTAGAGACGGGGTTTCACCCATGTTAGCCAGGATGGGTCTCGATCCACTCCTGACTTCGTGATCCACCCGCCTCGGCCTCCTAAGTGCTGGTCTTGACAGGGCTTGAGCGCCAGCGCCCGGGCCGCGAAACAGCATACGTTAACGTGGGCTGCAAGCAGCTTTGATAGCTGCTGAAGATTCACTTGTAACTTGGCAAGTGGAAGACCTGGGCCATTCCAGGCTATGGGGAGCATTTTCTATCAACTAAGTTTAGTTTTTTAAT